AAGTATTTATACTATAGCTTTTAATACACCAAGTGTATCTTCATAAAATTTGGTAAATTTTAGTAAACATTACAAGTCTTTTGTACACAAAAAATCAGATTTTTCATTGAAGTATTTTTTCTAAAGATTTGCTCGTGAATCTGGCCAGTTTGTTTTGTTACTGGTCGAAGTGCAAAGTGATTTTCATGTTATGATTAAAAATACTAATCTTCATCCCAAAAATCTCAAATTTCATTTGTGAAATCTATGGAACCTCCTTAATACATTTCAAATGTTTATTTTCAGTAAAACTTTATATCTTATAAGTTATTTAATGATATACTTGATTCTTCAGCCTGTAGACAAATCCTCAAAGTATAATGAAAAGACAAGCTGTAAAATTAAAAATAAAAGGGGCAGTTCTGCCCTTTTTTCATTATTATTGGCCACAAAGTTTCAAAATACTTCTTTTAAGAGTTTGAATTGCTAAACATTTCACATTTATTTTCTGTGTTCATTTTACCATCAACAACTAAAGCAATAAATTGCCTCTTGTGCCAATAGACTGTTTACATGACCACCATAATACGATATCCTTGAAAAAGCTAGCAAACTCAACTCCTGCTCCAAGAACAAGATGTCTAACGTATTGGATTATATATCCTAAAATGTTTTCTTGGAAAATTCACAATGCATTTAGTAAAAACGTTTATACCAATAACAGGATGTGTAATTTATCAGCTTATGTATGTATCATATAGTGTTCACAACAAGACTTTGAGAGTAACAACACTGCACTTCGAACCTGTCAAAACATTATGTGGTTCAGTGCTGATATATAATAAACACTACAATTCTTTGAATATTGGCAATCCTTTTATGGTGTTTGGAATATAGTGTCATAGGTGTACAAAGGTGCTATCTAACCACATTCTTATAAAATCCTATTTCCCTTTTCAACACTTAGTTGTCAATCAATAAAAACTCACATTTTGGTACAACTTATCACATCCATTTAGTTTTGCAAGCCTTATAAGTCTAGTCTTCTTTGGAAAAACATTCTTACTTTTGCAGCTAAAGTGTAGTTCAGAAGTTCCCTCACAGTTGCGAAACACCTTGAGTTGTTACTGACTCTTACCTCGAAGTAAGTAATCATGTATAATATTTATCTAGTTATCTATATATACAAGAAGTTATGGTGATAGGAAAATATTTTGCCCTCATGTGCCTTTAGTGCTAAGCTTCATTTATTTTTTTGAGTGGAGGGTGAAGAAATATAATTTTTGTAGGCTTCAAATATATATTTTAGAAAGAAAACACATTATTCTACTTGTACATCAAAACATCTGTAATTTGCTTGGGTTTATAAATAAAGTATACATGTGTATACATGTGTTTAAAAAATATAATCTCCATTCAGAGCAACAAAATGGTCATCACCATTCAACATTCCTGGGAAAATTATTATTTTCTCTCCCTTTTCTTTTTTCTCTTTACAAAAAACTGTCAGAATTACATGAAGCACAACCTGTCCTTTCTATTGGTTATAAACAGACCCTTAAGACAAGTAGGTGGAACTAAACAAGAGGTTTGGAAAGAATGGAGTAGGAGGAGGTGCCACTCTTGTTGATTTGCTAGATACATTGATTTCTCAGCAACTCAAAGTGGTGGGATATTCTAGTTTGCCAGTATCTTATGTTTCTAATTCAGTAACCACTTGTAAAGATATATAATAGG